CGTTTGACTCGTGCCCTCCATTGTGGTATATATTTTATTGACGATTATTTTATTATGCAGGACTGCAGTACGGGACAACCAATTGGTACAAGACGTGAATCAGAAGGCCTTTACTACCTTAACTCACTCAGTCCTTCCACAACATGTCTAGTTACAGATCCTCCAGATCTAATCCACGGAAGTTTAGGACATCCGAGTTTATCCAAACTTCAAAAGATGGTACCTAATTTATCTAGTTTGTCCACATTAGATTGTGAGTCGTGTTAGCTTGGGAAACATACCCGAGCCTCCTTTTCGCGTAGTGTTGAGAGTCATGCAGAGTCTGCCTTCTCCTTAGTTCGTTTTGATATATGGGGTCCTAGTAGAGTCAGTTCAACCTTGGGATTTCGTTATTTTGTTAGTTTCATTGATGATTATTCAAGATGTACTTGGCTTTTCTTAATGAAAGATCGTTCTGAGTTATTTTCTATATTCCAGAGTTTCTGTGCTGAAATCAAAAACCAATTTGGTGTTTCTATTCGCATTTTTCCCAGTGATAATGCCTTAGAATATTTATCTTCTCAATTTCAGCAGTTTACGACTTCTCAAGGAATTATTCATCAGACATCTTGTCCTTATACCCCTCAGCAAAATGGGGTTGCTGAGAGAAAGAATAGGTACCTTATTGAGACTGCTCGCACACTTCTAACTGAATCTCGTGTTCCGTTGCATTTTTGGGGCGATGCAGTTCTCACAACTTGTTATTTGATTAATCAGATGCCTTCATCTCCCATCAAAGATCAGATTCCGCATTCAGTATTGTTTCCCCAGTCACCCTTATACTCTCTTCCACCCCGTGTTTTTGGGAGCATGTGTTTTGTTCATAACTTAGCCCCTGGGAAAGATAAGTTAGCTCCTCGTGCTCTCAAGTGTCTTCCTTGGTTATTCTCGTGTTAAGAAGGGATATTGTTGTTTCGTAGGTACCTTATGTCAGCTGACGTCACATTTTTTGAGTCTAAACCTTTCTTTACTTCTGCTGACCACCATGATATATCTGATGTCTTACCTATACCGACCTTTGAGGAGTTTACTATAGCTCCTCATCCACCTTCGACCACAAAGGTTTCATCTATACCAACCGTTGAGGAGTCTAGTGTTGTTCCTCCTAGTTCCCCAGCCACACTCTTGACTTATCATCGTCGTTCGCGCCCTACATCAGGCCCAACTGGTTCTCGTCCTGCACCTGCTCTTGAGGCGGACCCTGCTCCTAGTACACCGATTGCACTTCGGAAAGGTATACGAACCACACTTAACCCTAATCCTCATTATGTCGGTTTGAGTTATCATCGTCTGTNCTTTGTCGGCACTCTGCTTCAAGTCTCTGTATTTATCTGGTAGTCTATGTTGATGATATTGTTATTACTGGCAATGATCAGGATGGTATTACCAATCTGAAGCAGCATCTTTTCCAGCACTTCCAAACTAAGGATCTAGGCAGATTGAAGTACTTTCTACGTATTGAGGTTGCCCAGTTTAGCTCAGGTATTGTTATTTCTCAAAGAAAATATGCTTTAGACATTCTTGAGAAGACATGGATGATAGGTTGCAGACCTGTTGACACTCCGATGGATCCGAATTCTAAACTTATGCCAGGACAGGGGGAGCCGTTTAGCGATCCTGCAAGCTATAAGCAGCTGATTGGAAAATTAAATTATCTCACAGTGACTAGACCCGATATTTCTTATCTTGTGAGTGTTGTAAGTCAGTTTATGAATTCTCCCTGTGATAGTCATTGGGATGCAGTTGTCCGCATTATTCGGTATATAAAATCGGTTCCAGGCAAAGGATTATTATTTGAGGATCTAGGTCATGAGCAGATCGTTGGATACTCAGATGCTGATTGGGCAGGATCACCTTCTGATAGACGTTCTATGTCTGGATATTGTGTTTTAGTAGGAGGCAATTTGGTGTCCTGGAAGAGCAAGAAACAGAATGTAGTCGCTCGATCTAGTGCAGAAGCAAAATATCGAGCAATGGCTATGGCAACATGTGAGCTAGTCTGGACCAAACAATTGCTCAAGGAGTTGAAATTTGGTGAAATCAGTCGGATGGAACTTGTGTGCGATAATCAAGCTGCCCTTCATATTGCATCAAATCCGGTGTTCCATGAGAGAACTAAACACATTGAGATTGATTGTCACTTCGTCAGAGAAAAGATACTTTCAGGAGAGATTGCTACAAAGTTTGTGAGGTCGAATGATCAACTTGCAGATATTTTTACCAAGTCTCTCACTAGTCCTCGTATTGGTTATATATGTAACAAGCTCGGTACATATGATTTGTATGCACCGGCTTGAGGGGGAGTGTTAGTTTACAACTATGTATATAGTGTAGTCTTGTCCCACATTGGAATAGGAGTAGTATATCCTTGTATAGTATAGCTATAAATAAGGACCTCTTGTATTGTATTGAACATCCAATATCAATAACATATTTTCTCCCGTGCTTCCTCACTGAAATAAAACTATTTTCTTAAACTCTTTACATCCTTTTCATGATTTGGAAAATTATCCTGTTTCTTTTGTTCCAGATAATCCAAAAAGTGCATGATGGTGTGGTTCTCCAAATTCCCTTCTCTCTTTGCCAATCTTCTTAACATTCGAGCTCATAACTGCTTTTCCCACAGACTTTAGTAGGACCCAAGAAATATTAAATAACGATAATGCAAGACTTCGAAGCTGATTTGTGATCTTGCAATGCGCCCAAAGATCCATTTCATCTCCATTATCCTTTCAGTATTGTATCCCTCAACGCCCACCATGTGAAAAATGTTACTCCTTCTGTTTCAATTTAAATGACATACTTTCCTTATTAGTCCGTTCTAAAAAAAATGACATATTTTTATATTTAGAAACAATTTAAGTTTAAACTTTTCATTTTAAACACTTTACTCTTAATGAGAAGCTTTTATAGCCACACAAATATCATGGCCCCACAAAACATTGTCCCTTAAGCTTTTAGGACCACATATTTCAAAATTCTTCTTTTTTTTTTCTTTAACTTTTTGGGAAGTCAAACTACATCATTTAAATTGAAACGGAGGGAGTACTTTTTTGTTGGCACCTTGGTCAAGGATAAAAAGCGGAATGAACAAAGAAAATTGTTTTTCCTTGTATTTCAATCGTAGTTAGATAAGGCCTCCTGTTATTCTCTAAACTTTGTGAAATTAAGTCAAATATCAGTCTCCAAACTCGTCAATCTAAGAATCAAAGTGAACTTGGTTAATTGCACGTGCAATGGGTATTTGTCTAACAGAAGCAAATGAATTTGAGTCATCAAAGTAATAATATTTATTTTTGATGACTAGAGTTTTCTCCTAGTTTCAGGCATTACGGCAGTATTGTTCTTCTCGTTTCACTTTATGCTTCTTGCTTTGTGTTATTAGTCCTAATTTTTTAGCTTTTCATTTTTGTGATAATGTTGATTTCCAAGATGACCTAAGTGATTTTTCTTTTCTTTTCTATAATTTTGTGGATTATCTAGAATTATTGCATGCAAGAAGTTTCTGAAGAGACGGATCTTGATGCGTTTGCTTGTAATGGATTACAAACAGCAACTGTAATTTGTTGCTGTACTGAAAAAACTTGCATGTCTCTGTCCTCTATGACAGCTTAGAGCTGATCTTCAATCTATGCAGGAGGAAGCTGGGGATGGCTTAGTACTGCCAAAGCATAATAAAGGCTGCCACTGCAAGAAATCAGGCTGCCTTAAGAAGTACTGTGAGTGCTTCCAAGCCAACATTCTTTGCTCTGAAAATTGTAAATGCATGGACTGCAAAAATTTTGAAGGAAGCCAAGAGAGGCAGGCTCTTTTCCATGGAGATCATGCCAACAACATGGCATATCTCCAGCAAGCAGCAAATGCTGCTATAACTGGTGCCATTGGATCCTCTGGTTATGGATCTCCTCCAGTGAACAAGAAAAGAAAGGCTCAGGAGCTGTTCTTTGGGTCAATGATTAAAGACCCTGTTCATAGGCTCGGTCAACTTCAACAGGTAAACAATAACTGTTATCCAATTCAACTTGACGTGTTTCTCAATTGTGCATGTCATCTGCATATTCTGGCATGGGGTCTGTTCTGATAATAATATAGTAGAATTAAAGGTCATAGGTTTCATTATAAGACATGGAATTTGTAATGAACAACAAGAAATTGTTTTACTTGATTTTGTGATTATTTATCAGTGTTTCTATGCTATCTAATAAGCAGGAGAAACAACTTGCTGTAGCTCTGGCTTAATATTTTGTGATAATAGTTGATTAGTGAACTCAAATCATACCATACAGGAAAGCCAAATCAAAGCTTCAGTTCCACCATCTCCGCTGTCTTCTATTCCTGGTCCTCGCGTTGGTAATGCTGCAGCATTAGGTCCTTCAAAGTTTACCTACCGGTACTGCTAACTACCCTTGAGAAATTAACACCCACTGCTCCTTCAGCAGACTAATTGTTGCCTCATTGTTGTAGGTCCCTGTTAGCAGACCTAATCCACCCACATGATATCAAGGAGCTTTGCTCTGTTTTAGTTGACTATGCATGGGAAGCGGGCAGGATGCTTGCAGGTATACTTTGATGTTTATTAAGAACATGGCTTCATTCACATCTACTTGTATCACCAATACTTTAAGTATATCTTTCATTGTATTGACTTTCTAGCTTGTTTAGTTTAAGATCGTTTTGATGATTTTGCCATGGGTTGTACTTACAATTGTTTTTAAGTCTTTTCTTGAATCATCACTGAAGTTTCTTCTGTCTATATTTGTTTATTACTTTAATTATGCCTTTTTCCTTCTTAATACCTGGGATCTATGACCTAAGTAGCAGAAGCAGTACCTTTAATTTTTCTCTGAATCTAATACTAGGTAATAGCTTAAATGGGGTGATAATGTTTAGCTTAGATAATACTTTTCTGCCTCTGAACTAAATTGAGATCAAGTAAAAACATTCACCCAAACTGAAAATATCAAACTTTAGAACTATGGAAACCTTAGCTAAATGGGTCATATGTGTGGCATGGACAGCTATTTGAGATTCATTTACGTGTTTAATGCTTTTTATCCATTACTGAGGATTAAAAGAAGCTGCTGGTTTTATTTCTGTTTTTTTTTCCGCTACTTTTCTTCTTTTCTTGTGTGGGGATTTAGGATGCGTAGGGATCACCTTAATATGGCCTTCGGACAGGGTACTAGAGTAGTTTCCATCATGTCAAAGACTTCTTCTCTCTATTTTTTCCCTGTCCTGGTTCATTTTCTTTCCCATCTATTTTCTTCTGAACAGAACCAAGTAGGAAGAGGACAAAAATTTTAAAAAAATGAATGGAAGGACAAAAATTAAAAAAAAAGAGAATGGAAAAGACAGGAAGAATGGGCACAAGAGCAGACTAAAGGAGGGAGACTTAAGTTCGGGGGTACCGTAGACATGTTGCTGAAAGTGATCTAGAGATTAGGGAGATCTACCTTATATACTTGTTAGATAGTTAATGTACATAGTTAAAGTGTGTATAGTTATGCTTAATGTTAGTGTCGCAACATTGGGAAAACATGATTATCTACTACGTAAAGTGTGGATAAAGGGCTCAACATAAGACAGTTGTTTTCATACATCTCCATAATCTTTTCTCCTGTGTCTTTATTTCCCACGTGGTATGATAGCCTGGTGAGAAATTTCTCACTATGGAGTCACCAGCGACATGTCTGGAAAAGGAAAAGCTAGTCAATGCACATTTTTTCCGGTGACTTTCACGGCTGTTTGCGTCAACTATCTATTTCGTGAGTGTTGTGCGAAAACCAACACTGTCACGGGGTTAGGGACCTTCTGGTGGCCAAAGCCTATAAACTAGCTGACTGCTCATATGTTGCCACACACTAGCAAGAGTAAGATCTCTGGCGCCATGTTAAGACCATGCGCCAAGCACGTAAAGCACTTTCCAACCATCTCCATCATAGTCATTGTTCCTTGGGGTCACTTGGTCATCCCGACCTGACCCATCTAGTTTCTATGCAATTCCGACCACTGGTTGTTGAGATTCCATCCCGACCTGAACCATCTAGTTTCTAGCCAATTCCGACCACTGGTTGTTGAGATTCCATCCCGACCTGACCCATCTAGTTTATAGCCAATTCTGACCACTGGTTTTTGAGATCCATCTTTGCCAGAGGCCTCTTCTTGACCTTCAGAATTTTCTAGTGATTTTTTGACCATCTTCAGGCTACCTACTGTATTCCAGCCACTTCCCAATGACTTCTCTGGAAGAATTGTTATCGATTTCCTCCTAGTTACTAATTTGTTTGATTAGAACTCTCAATTCAACCATGTCTTTCAAGTTTGATGTGTTTGGATCCTTTGGTTCCAACAACATAGGATTCGGAAATTCAAGTCTTATGATTACTTCAGAACCGTTAATTGGGACTTTAAACTATTTAACTTGGGCTTCCTTTGTTGAGTTACGGTGCAAGAGTCTGAGGTGTCTAAGATCACTTCACTAAAAGGGTCACCGAGATTGATGAGAAGACTCGAGCATTATGAGAGAATGTTGATGCTCAATTATGTAGTCACTTGTAGCGATCTATTGATTCAAAGTTGTAGGCTTTGTTTTCTCCATTCCAAATATGGAAAAGCCCACTTTTATATGTTGAGTTTCCCACATTGGCTGTAGGATTAAATATTAGGCTAGGTTTTGGGCAATCCTCACCACATGAGTTAACTTTTGAGGTTGAGTTGGCCAAAAGTTCATATCTTATCATGGTATCAGAGCCAGATCCATCCCAATTCTTAGTTTACCTGATATTAGGTCCACATGTTATATTGTCCACACTCCAGATGTATAGTCCTAGGCGCGGGGGGTGGG